TTTTTTTTTTTTTTTTTTGAGATGGAGTTTCGCTCTTGTTGCCTGGGCGGGAGTGCAATGGCGTGATCTCAGCTCACCACAACCTCCACCTCCTGGATTCAAGCGATACTCCTGTCTCAGCCACCTGAGTAGCTGGGATTATAGGCATTTGCCAGCACACCTGACTAATTTTGTATTTTTAGTAGAGACAGGGGTTTACCATGTTGGTCAGGCTGGTCTTGAACTCCCGACCTTAGGTGATCCGCCCACCTCGGCCTCCCAAAGTGCTGGGATTACAGGTGTGAGCTACCATGCCCAGCCCCTTTGTGGATTTTTATTTTCCTTTTCCTTCCTGCTGTCATATTGGGATGAGATGAATTGGGGGAAGTCGCCCCCTGGCGCCTTGGGGGACGTGAGAACGCTGTTCTGTGTGAAGCTCAGGAAAGGTGTCTGGGGAAACAGCAGTTGAATCGTGAACATGATTTTAAAAGCCTCTCCAAGCAAGTATGGGAGGGAAGCTTGCTTGTGACTGACTTGATGGAATCTATTTTATTTTTGCGTGGCTGTCCATGACCTTTCATTAAACCCGCAGCCGGCCACTTAGCTAAGCTCAGACACACCTGTACTTGAATTGTCCAGTGAATTATTTTGTATATGGCAGAGTGTTAGCTTCAGGGTGAGCGTTTGAAAGGACGGCCTGTGTAGAGTGCTGCTTGGGGTCATCGCTGTGTCCATCACCAGGTGTTGGCCTGAGGGGAGATCCCTGGTCCATTGGCTTCTTGAGCCAGGAGCTGGGGATGCCACTGTGTGGAGCACTTCCTTCCCGGGCAGGACTAGAACCCCGTTCCTGGTGAGGGCCCTCCTGGGGAGGCACTCCTTAGGCAGAGGAGCCCGCCCTTGCCTCTGCTGGGGCCCGAAAGGGCCCTGCGTGGTGTGTGGGGTCACATGGAGGCCAGAGATGTGTGACAGAGTGGGAGGCATTTGGCAGGGAAACCAGGGAGGCCTCTGAAGGCGGTGGCCCGGAAGGGCCTAGGGGAGTTTCCAGTAGAGTCTAGGCTGGGAAGCAGCTGTGAGAAGGAGTGTGTCGGTCAGGGGTTTGGAGTGGGGCCCGGGCTGTGCTAGGTCCTGGGAGTTGGAAACGGGGAGGGCTGACTGGGGCTGCTCTGTCAAGGGGCTGGCAGGCAGGAGGAGGTGTTGATTTTTCTTTGCTTGACTGTGGAGCATCCTGAAGGGTGGTTGGGGGAGTGGGTGATCAGAACAGTGTGTGGACTTAGGGGTACAAGAGGGCCTTGAGATGGGAAGAGACTAGAAGCTCAGACCTTCTGGACTCACGGAGGGAGTTGGGAGGCTGCTGTGGTGCTGATGGAAGAAGTGATGCCATTCTGCATTAGAGAGGATAATGGGAGTGGGAAGGATGTGGTGAACAAGGATTGCAAGAGTCAGGGACCCCAGAACAAGACGCAGGGTCGGGGGTGGTGCCTCGGCTACACATTTGGGAGCACGCTGTGGGTGCCCTGGCTGAGCTCTGCACTCCAGGCCCTGGGGGTGTGGGGTGAGCAGCCAAGCCCTGGCCATTGCCATCCTCAGGTTGGGAACAGACACTGAACAGGCCACTGGTGATGATTCTCTGAGAAGGAATAAACCAGTCAGAGAGTCCAAGTCTGGAGATCTCTTGCAGGCGGAGACTGAAGGGAGGTAGAGTGTGTGGCTGTCTGCAGGTGTGTGAGTTGGTTCTCATGCTGCTATAAAGATGTACCCGAGACTCAGTAATTTATAAAGAAGGCCGGGTGCGGTGGCTCAAGCCTGTAATCCCAGCACTTTGGGAGGCCGAGACGGGCGGATCACAAGGTCACAAGATCAAGACCATCCTGGCTTACATGGTGAAACCCCGTCTCTACTAAAAAATACAAAAAACTAGCCGGGCGAGGTGGCGGGCGCCTGTAGTCCCAGCTACTCGGGAGGCTGAGGCAGGAGA